TTCCTTTGCTCTTCATGGGAACCCTATGGGATAGGCAGAGCTGATGGCCTCCTCTCTTGGCAACTAGGAAAGGGAGGGCTGGAGAACAGAGGGGCTGGTGCCAGGCCCCACGACTACAGAGGGCAGCTCCCAGGCTCAAGCTCTGCTCTTCTGAATCCAAACCCTTCCTTCCACAATGTCAAGGAGATGCCCACGAAGTCCACAGGCAACACAAGAAATGGCCCTGCACCTTCTGCAGGGTACACGCTCCAGATTCACTTCCTGAGACTTCTGGGCGCCTCTCCAGTGGTGCTGGACCCTTAAGTTTGTATAATGTCACTTTATCCAAGAAGCAGAGCCCGGCGCCTGCAGGCAATGACTGTTGACTATTATGGCCCTTAGCAAGTGTTTCTTAGAGAAGGCTGGACCCACAGGGGTGTCTGAGGCTGCGCCATCGGGTTAAGAATTGCTGTTAGCCCAGAGGCCACGGAGGAACTGCAGTAATGCTGGGCGGAAAGTCCCCTAGCCGCTGTCTGCGTTTCCTCTCCCATCCCTGTTCGTGACCTCTGGCTCCTCTCTGGTTTCCACCTTGGTTTTTTGTCTGCCTCTGGCTTTCTTCCTAACTCTCACCTATGTCCCCTTGGTGAGCCCCTCCTGGTTACCGATTTGATTCTATGGCCCACCCTGGTTTTCCTGCTCCCCTTTGATGACATTCGATGCTCCTGGCACAAACTCGTGGGGCTGATCCCCAATGTTTTCAGCGTCCCCCTGTACCATCACAGACCCCTTACATGCCCAGTCCTTCCCTGATTTAGTTTCTGCTGATGCTCACTGTGTGAGGACTGGGCTGGAGTTGTCTTGGAAAGGTTGTGCGGGCAGACCACCAGGAGCGGCTTGGTGCTAATCCCCTTCCTCTGCACCCAACGCCCTCTCCCCTGCTCTCCCCACTCTTGAGATGCGCTGCAGCATACATGTGCCCATGTGCACACTGAAGGATGCCGAGGGGTGTTTGTTGCAACATCATTGGGAAGTACAAAAGAAGTGACTTAAATCTCCTTCAGTAGGAATAGGTTATAATACGTCCAAATAATGGGAGGAAAAGAGAGTTCTCTGTACGCAGACATGGAATAATCTTCAAGATCAAATTTTAAGTGAAAAAAGCAAAGGGCCAAACAGTATATAAATTTTGCTACCATTTGTGTTAATAGAAGAAAACAGGAAATGATACTTATATTTGTATATGCATAGATTTCTCTGGAAAGCAGCAGAAACTGTGGTTACCTCTGGGGAAGGAAACCAAGTCACTGGGGAAAAGGGTGGCGGTGAAGTTTCCTTCCTGAGCTTAGTCCCATGTGTATGGTCCTTATTCAAAAATTATATTTAAAAAGATAAATGCTTTAGAATCAACACAGAGGCGTGGAAATACACGGCAGCTTGGGGACCACATTTTAGTTGTACAGATTAAAACATTAAACCATTAAGGGGTAAATAATGTCCAAATTCCCACAACTAGTAAGTTGACAGAGCTATGACTAGACCCCTCGCTGTCATTTGGCACCTATGCTCAAGGGAATGCGTCTTCTAAACCCTACGTATCAGTAGAACATACAACAAAAATGACAGAGTTATACCCCAGGGTGAGACATTTGAGACTCAGTTTCTTCATCTCTAAGTCGCAAACAGTAGAGTTGTTGTGAAGGTTGGATTAGATGGTGTGTGTTTATCCTAGCACCTGGCACACGCTAAGCATTTGATAAATGCCAGTAACGGTTACTGATCATTTTGAGGCTATTATGGAGTTGGTCGGGGCAGGCAGGGCTGTGAGGAAGGTTGTCATAAGAGTGCATGGAGGTGAAGGCTTGCAGGGTAAAGAAAAATAAAACACACAGAGAGAGAACACTTGGTTCTCAATTATTTAAATAGTCACTGGAGAATCGGAGAGAGTAAATGATGCTTAACCTGGAAAACATATATTAGGGAGTATGTGAGAGGGATACTGTGGAGAGAACTTCCAGCCCCTTTTCCTCCGAAATGCCACTAAGGGCCACCTGTGACCAGCATTGTCTCTCATGCTGAAAAATAAATGTACACAACTTGAGCCCATCTGGTGCGCTTCTTTCCATTTCTCTTTCACTCTCGATTGTCGAAATGCCCTCATTATTCTTGCTAGCTTATTTCCTTTCCTATCTTCTCTTCTTCTGGGGCCACGGGTCAAGTGGTGACTCAGGCCCTAAGTGTTCTACTGGGAGCTGGGTTTGCCTTGCTCGGAGAAGTGCTGACAAGATGCTGTCGTTCTGGGCAGCTTTGCCCACACCGCATCTGGGCTGTCAGCTTAGCAGGAGCCCCTGCAAAGCCAGGTTTCTGAGCACCGTTCCCCTCCCTTCCCCTTTGTGCCGGGAAGCCACCTCCTTACAGGCTGAGGGGCGAGAACGTGAGGTCCCCTCTCTTGTTCACCACTTTGAGATTTGTTATTATTATACTCCTGCCTGACTGGAAGGAAAATACCAGATGAGGTTCAAAGCTCAGGTTCTGCCATCGGCCCTCCTAGGTTCAAATCCTCACTCCTCCCCGATAGCTCGTGACCGTGGGCAAGTTGTGTAACCTCTTTGCCCCGGTTTCTGTCTGAAGAAATGATGAGGACAAAATGAGATAATCCGGGTAAAAGGCAGAACGCAGAACCTGAGTCTTAGTGAATTCTCTGTAAAGGTTAGCCTGAAATAGTACCAGCAGCTACTGCAGTAGCAGAAGTAAGCACAAGAAATACAAGGCCGGGGCCCGGCCCGGTGGCGCAGCGGTTAAGTTTGCACATTACGCTTCGGCAGCCCAGGGTTTGCCGGTTCGGATCCCGGGTTTGGACATGGCACTGCTTGGCAAGCCATGCTGTGGCAGGCATCCCACAAATAAAGTAGAGGAAGATGGGCATGGATGTTAGCTCAGGGCCAGCCTTCCTCAAAAAAAGAGGAGGATTGGCAACAGTTAGCTCAGGGCTAATCTTCCTCAAAAAAAAGAAAAGAAAAAGAAATATAAGGGTGGTCTGGGTATTTGAGGAAGATCCATAAGCGCTGACCTCAAGGAATAGGGTCACTACCTCCAACCACACATGTGTGCCATCCCCGTCCCCCACCCCATGCCCTCGCCCCACAACCGTCCAGTCTTCACTGGCTGGGTTACCAGTGAACAATGCTGTGTGGTCCCAATAGTTCTGAAAGCAGGATGACTTTACTGAGATTGTCCTCGTGGACAAATATCTTTTCCTGATCCAGGGTGACACATCGCACATTGAAGCTTTCAACATATGAGTGAATACATTATTGACTTGCCTTATTTCAAAGACGTAAATATAAGACAAAGTCGCTTAACCAGGAAGGCAGATATTTTTTTAATCCTGCTCTTGGTACATACGTGTGAGGGACACCAGTTAGTTACACACTGCCATTTGTAATTGATTCTGATGGTTTTGGGTGGCATTTACTGACATGGTTGTCAAGTGGATTCTTGGTCTTGGGGGAAAGTGAAATGTTTGTCTTATATAACCCAAATAATTAGACGGTGCTCAAATGAAGATTTTTATAAATCAAATCAGAGGAATCCATTGTGCTAGAGTCATGCAGATAGATAAGTTACTGAATTGGCTCTCAGTGGCCAGTTGGGTCACTCTTTGGAGCGGTGACCTAACCTATAGTAACAGGGCACGGTTTAAAGCGTCAACTTCTCTGTTTGCATCGGACCTTTCTCCTTAGAAAGAACTTTCACATAAATTCACTCACTAGATAAGTTTCCCGTAGCCTAATCTCTATGCTCTTTTCCTCGATGGGCCCCACCTGTATGGTAGGCAGGTTATACCGTGATAGGACAGAGCCCTCAGCCTTTCACCGTGACCACTGCATAGCCAGACGAGGAAAGAATTTTCAAATAATCATCAAGCTACTAGTCCTTTCCTGTCCTGCCATGAGCCGCAGGATGATTTTCCAACACAATCTGACATTCGAACAGAATAAACTTGCCTGCGGTTTACTAATAGGGAAAGTCCTGAAGATGCATTTGGATTAAATAAATTTTAATATCGGTGCAGTTTCCCTAGCGTCTCAGGAAACTTCCCCCTGGAGAATTTCACTTTAAAAATGAGATACACGTGAATACTCTTATGTAGAATCCAGGAGGATTTCCGTCATATCGTCGCAGAGGCAGACTCAGTTCTCTGCAGAACGCGAGACCTGACGCTGAAACCTAAGCAGTCACCCCAATTTTAAAGAAGTCTTCCCCATCCATAGGTAAACTTTTATCAAAAATTAGGACACACACACACAAAAAGGGGGCCGGCCCCATGGCCAAGTGGTTAAGTTTTCGTGCTCTGCTTCGGGGGGTCGGGGTTCGCAGGTTTGAATCCTGGGCGTGGACCTACACACAGCTCATCAAGCCATGCTGAGGTGGCATCCCACATAGAGGAACTAGAATGACCTACAACTAGAGTATTCAACTATGTACTGGGGCTTTGTGGAGGGAAAAAAGAGAGGAAGATTAACAACAGATGTTAGCTCAGGGCCAATCTTCCTCACCAAAAAAGCATAGCTTAAAAAAAAAAATTAGGAAACAATGCATTGCTTTATATCTAAAAGTATTATATGGCAAGTACTTAACTTTCAGTAAATGTGAATTTCTATTTACTCAGAAATATTATTAAAATATCATGACACCCTATAGGAGGAGTCCTGGAATATAACACTTGACACGACAAAGCTTCTCAATGCCCTTTGCTTAAGCATCACTGAAACAGCTGATCGAGGCCAAAGTGCTTGCATTTGTGGGAGGTTTATCTCCGGCCTCTGATCCCACGTTCAATATACTCCCAGCTTGAGCTCCATTTATGTTAAATCAATACTTTGTGTCACATGGAACTGGAAGACCAAACACAGTGGATCAAGTTTATCCCTGGATGTACGCAGGATAAATTTAAAAATCATTGAAAACATAACATCCTAGCTTTGTCTCCCTGGCCATCTCAATTTTGTGTTTCCCCACAGATGTCGAAGGATCAGCACAGTCCGCAGATATGCCCCTGGAATTGGAAAGAACAGATGAAGAGGCTACTATTCTAAGTACATTTGCTGCAGTGACCACAGAAACGTTAATTACAAATACGAGTTCTACCCACACTGATGAGGGTGTAAATCAGTTAGAGTTTATATTAATGGTGTTGATTCCGTTGATATTATTGGCCGTCCTATTTTTATCTGTGATATTCCTCGTAACATGCTATAAAAGAAAAAGAACTAAACAAGGTAAATATTTTGTGTGTCCCCGTTTCGAGACAATTGTTCCATGTGTTAACGAACGATCAATAAAGCAAAATACTTTTTGCTTCTACACAGAGCCTTCTAGCCAAGGATCTCAGAGCGCTTTACAGACATGTGAGTATTTTCCTAACACCTGCCTGGCGTGGGGCATGGGGCAGGAGAAGGAACCGGGAGGTTTTAAAGTTAAGCTATACAAAATAGTAAACGATGAATGACGTATTTCAAGGAAATTTTCTAGAGTTTAAAAAGGCCAAATCGCTTTCTTTTTAAAAAAGAGAATGTTTTCAGCCTAAATTGAAATTTAAAATACACAGCGGCCATCCCTTTGCGTAATCCAGGTGAGGGCCCTGCATAATCTTGGCCAATAGGTCAATGTAACATTTCCTTGCTGTCAGGGCAGCGGGGGGGGGGGGGGGGGGGCAGGAAGGTAAGCTGGTGAAGCAGTGGGTGGGACTGGGGTGAGGAACAGGAAGGCTGAAGACCTGGAGGCCATCTCCAGAGGAAGAGGGTCCTTACGTGTATATTTTTGTCACAGATATTGTTTTCTCCCCCACGTCACATCCCAATTTGGTCTTGAAAAGGCCTGAGTGAAGCATTGTTCCTATTCCCATGAAAGCTATGCTAACTTTTGTAATCCAACTCCTAATTGCCTAAAGATTACTACCATCAATCTGAAACCAATCTGATAGAAAATTCCCTAGGTCAGAGATGCACTTTGAGAGTGTTCAGTTCCAATCAGCATTGTTCTGGGTCCAAAGAGGACTTAGGTCCTTCTGGCTTCTGCTGGTAAAAATGACTCTAATTAGATTTTTAAGTTGAAGCCTTTGGTCATTCCAAAAATCACTCCAGGGATAAGGATTTCTCTAATAAGATACATATTCATATGTGCAGACAAAACTCACTCTGTCCCTCACACCCGCTAACAGGGCACCTCTGGCTTTGAGATCATGACCTTGGCCTAGGGCCTCGCTCACTGTCCTTGCACGGGGAGCACCCTTCAGCTCTCAGCAGCAGCTGTAAAGTGTCCTTTTCCATTACGCCAGCAGGCACGGCATATGCGAGCTGGGGAAGAAGCGCTGGAGTGGATTTCCTTTCATGACAAGGGCTGACTTAATAGATTACAAGGAAATAGAAAATACATGTTTCTCCATGGCTTGAAATCTCAGGGTGACCTAATAACAGTGTCGTGTGGGAGCTCCTTTGTAAGCTGAAGAAAAAGAAAAAGCAAACAGGGCTGATTGGGTTCCATTTTTTTTAAAGTAGAGAAAGTAAGCATTTCCTGCTCAAACCATAGCCCACAGCTAGTCTTACCTCATGGAGTTATGGCGTTGGAGGGAGGATGGAGGTGTCCAGTCAGTGGTCGTGCTCTTCGGCTCTAAATCCAGAAAGGGGCTTTCCATTGAACTTTACTGTGAGACTCTCAAAGTTCAAAAGCCCTTCACGAGTGAGGGCTGGCCTCATCCCCAGACGTGGCCTGTGCATCCTACACTGTAGCCATACATGAAGCGTTTGCTCTTCCCCCAGCATGGTACATTCACGATGCCTCCATGCCTGATCGATGCTATTTCTTCTGTCTGAAATTTCCTCCTCGTCTGCCTGGCAAACTGCCACCGCATTCTTCAATGCCCAGTTCTAAAGTTTTTATGAAACCTTGAGTAATCACTCCGCAGGCAAAATTAATCACCACCTCTTCTGTGCTCTCACAGACTGTGGTCGCCCTTGTTGTGCACAGTATTTACATTGGCTTAAGATAGGAACTTGCCCTTTTTTGGTCTTTCTTTCTTACTAGGCTGTGTTCTATTTAAGGTCCAAGAGAAGCAAGAACTTGTCTTATTTATCTGGTTTAACAGCGTGGCACTGAGGCTGAGAGTGCAGACTCTAGAACCACATTGCCCAGTGGGCTTTCGCACTTCCTAGCTCTTTGACTTTCTGGTTCAGTTTCCTCCTCTGTAAAATGGGCAAATTCAATATCTACCTTAGAGAGTTATTGTGAGAATTAAATGGATTCATCCATGTAACGCACTTAGAAAAAACAGTACCTGGTATATTGTGTTAGCTTATTATCACTGTCCCTTTTACCTAACATAGTGGCTGGCCCAACACATATATTAGCCACTCAATAAATGTTTGTTGAATGAATGAGTTCGTGAAAGAATGTTAGAACTTTTTTTAAAGAACACCTATTCTCAGAGATAAAAACAAATTTGCACATTATCTTTAACACAAATTGGCACATTATTTGTAGTTTAAATATATTTTACTATAACACAAAAAACTTAAGAGTTTCAAAACAATTGCTTATTACAAAAGATTTTGAAAAAGACCTTTATTTCAATATTTTCTCTTGTTAGCCATTCCTTTAATACTGATACAGATCATTAACTGCTAAAGAGATGAATCTCTCTTCAGACAAACTGAATGCTAAAGGTTAACAGCCACTGTCCACCCATTCATATTTAACATGATAACGCAAGTCAATAAAAGGAGAATATTTAAATTTAAAAAATTTGATTTAAATACATTTTTTCCCCAGGAAAAACAAAACTCCTACTGGGTCAGCCCAGCAAATTGCTTGGAAAGTTCCCAAAGGAGCATTTTGCGGGAGAGCATGGGTAGAAGATAGACTCTCAGAAAGTTAGGAATAGACACATTGTTTCTTTCCCCACCTGAATATTCTTCTACACCTGGAAAGACGTCATTAAAGTGGACAATTGGGGAGGACTTGGCCAACATTTTTAGAAAGAATGTTTCATCCAATTGGAAATTACCTTTTTCTCTGGATTTATCCCTTTGATGTCCAGGAAAAGGAAAGGGCTATGTAGTAATTCAGCGTTCTACTGTCATTCTTCCTGGACCTCCAGGCGTTAAATTTGCAGTTGTTATTCAACATTTATTAAGTGTCTGGATGTGCTGTGTCTCTGAAAGAGCTGCAGGGAAAGCAGCTGGCAGTCAACCATCACTTTAAACAGGCTGTGGCTTCATGACACCTGGCTCTGCTCAGTGAATCTCCAGAAGGAGGCTCTCTTGCTCACTGTTCAGCACGGAAACCAGATAAGCAAACCAGTGTCCTGCTGGGCTCCAGCAATCCCTCCACCAGTGCACAGAGGAGAGTAGCTGGGAGCCGGCATTGTCAGGCTAAAGGGGTGTAATGTAGGAAGCGAAGGAGAAGGACAGGGTGGGTAGGAGGATAGGAAATGGAAGGACTGTAGGCGGGAAAATGGAATCAAGGTGGGGGTGGGGGAGCCATGCAAGAGCTGCATTCGCCTCCCGGTGCAAGGGAGTAGGTGGCTATTAATAAAGAGATATAAGCCAGGTGGAGCAGAGCGAGCAGGGCCTGATTGCTGAGGACGAGTAATTGGTCTCCCTCCTGGTTTAATACTCTGCTCTGGTGCGCTCTCCCAGATGTTTTCCTGTTGCCATGGTGGCCAGGGCAGGGGTAATGGCTGTCGAGGCCACAGAAGGCTTTTTGCTATGTTTGAATACTGATTACAGGAGCCTTGCGTTTGGTGCATCTGGAGCACTTTTGTAATGAGTTTTTAAACTTTTCCATCATCTGCATGCAGGGCTAGCTTTTGCCCACCGTGAAGCCTGCGGGCGCTCAGATTATAAAGATAAATCCGTGCCCTCAACAGTGGGGATGTGGGGCCACTTGCTCTCTGAGAAATTAATGGGGGGTTATTAAGCAGGGAAGAGGAGAGGGAGTGACAAAACAGGGGGATCTTTATGGGTCACCTGGAGGGGAGCTTCAGTTATACAGGGGCTTTATTTATAGTAAAATCTCTTAAGGAAATAGCCTGTAAATTTGAGATAAAAAATGTATACATATATAAAATATAAGATGAACATACTCCCCTTCACCCAGTGTAAGTGTCTGAGGAGTCAGGCATCAGTAGGAAGCTTCAGACTCCTCCTGGGGGGCAGGAGAACAGCCCCTCCAAGGTCAGCAGTGATGGCATGAAAGTTACATCTGTGCCCAGCTTTCCTGGCTTAGCAATGGCATTAAAGCTTGCCAACCCACAGGAAATTACAGTGGCTCCTCGCTGCCAAGAGCTCAGTTCCAGGTGCCTGCTGTTGTGTTCCCTCGCTGGGGACCTGCATTTCTGCAGGCCGGGCAAAAGGAGGCCTCTGATTGCCAAGGATCAGGAACCTCTGACTATTCGGGGGACAAAGTGATTTGCTTCTCAATGTTTTTCACATCATAAAAGGTGCAGTGGGCCTATGCTATCCACTCACTTGACATCATTGCCTCATTTCTCTGGGTGTGTTGGTCCCCCTACCAAACAAAACAGAGCTTGAGCTGGGGCACTGGGCTCTGTTCTCGCCACATATTCATTTGGAATCTGATCTGTCTTAGAGCCATTTTGCAAACTGTTAACTGACTGTCGCCTCAACCAACAGGAATGAAAATCAGTCTTGTTGGAAGTTTCACTATTATAATAATGCTGAGTCCAAAACATTGGGCGTGAATTTACCCCCAGTGCTGGACAATCCAGATTAAGACCTATTTGTTAATTCCATAAATACTGACCAGGTGTTCACCAGGAACTGTGCTAGCTGGATGGGAGGCGAGGGGTTGCCACAACGAACAAGACAGACATGATCCCTGAGCTTTTGGAGCTATGTCTAGTGTGAGAGACAGACAAGACTTAGATGAATTCATCAGTGTCAAATTGTAGCAAATGCTATGTAGCAGTAAGCAAGGTGCTGAGCTGGAGAACAATAGGAAAGACGGGCCCTACTTCAGAGACGGGAGGTGGGGAGGCCTTCCCCAGGAAAGAGGAGGAGCTGAGAACAGGAGGATGTGAGGGATTCACTCACGCAAAGAGCAGGGGGAGGGGAGAGTTCCAAGGGGAGCCCTTGATGGAGTACCCCACATCCTCCTCGGAGACAAAGGGACGACGGCACAGCGTGTCACAAGGAGATGAAACAGCAATGGTTTGACCTGGGACATTTTGGGGCAGGGGGCTAAGGAGCAAGCCCTCCTGTAGGACCCTTCCTTTCTTCCCCTCCCCTCTGTTCTCCTCCTCCTGTGGATAAAATAGAGATGAACATCTGATCTGAAGGGAGCGCTCTCCGAGCACCATCACATCTAAAAGAAAACAGATTTTACGTGGATCGGGACCTCTTTTCAAGATGGCAATCTGTACTCATTTGACAGGGGTTAATTATTGCTCCTTTAAAAAATCGACTGACTTAGTCACTTCTCTTGATAAAGGAGATTTCAGCTGTTGATGAAATAATGCATTGTTACAGACAAACAAACCTAGCATGACCTTCATATTTATTCTCTTTCAGATGAACTTCCATGTGAAAACGTGAAAGTGTAAGTTCCCCGCTGCTTCCAGTCCAGCTCAGTGTGGGCAGGGATGGGGGGGAGGGGAGCAGACCAGAGAGCCGGCTGCCTTGTCAAGAGCTCTTGCGCTAACATCCCCTCCGCCCCAGGAGAAGGCTTCCCGGATGGGACTCCCCAGACCTCAATGGGGGGGGGGGGGGCCGGAAATGGGGGCTGGGAGCATCTGAGGACAGGGTCCTCTGTTCAGAAAAGAATTTTGTTCTAACGGCTACCTATTCCAAATGCATAGTAGTTAAATATTCTGCCCCTGGGTGTATTTCAAGGACATTGGTTCTCTTATTCTGATTAAAAATTTTATCACCAGAGAAGCGGCTTTCGCTGGTGTTAAGGGAGAAGCGCCCTGGTAGAATAGGAATGGAAGGGGAGGGGAAGGAAGGATGGAAAGCGCACAGGCGAGGGTGGAGGGCGGTGGGGGGGGGGGGTGGTTGGAGTAAAGATTCCGCCCAGAAGAGCGTTCTGGGGCGATGTCCCCCACACCCCCACCGTCCTGCAGCCTTACTCATTTAGACACTTTGCTGGCTTCCTCTACACTGTGTGACGCCCACGCCGCCACTCGGAGCTGGTGGTCCCCCTCCCCCAACCCCATCTACAATACCCAGGGGCTGCTTTCCCCTAACTGGGCGCTCTGAGCCCTGGCAAGTGAAGGGACCGGATTTCTGAAAGCAATGGCTCCATTTCTCCCAGACAGAAAAGCCTGGGAATTAAAGGGCGAGATGATGAAAGGAGCCTCTTGCTAGTGGCCTGTGGACCCAGGGCACTGATCAAAAACCCCAAAGAAAGGGAAGTGAGATTAAGCAAGGCGAAAATGCTAAATGTGGCAACCCCCTCGAGGAGCGCAGGGTCGACTTTGTGCCTTGGGCACAAGGGAGCAGAGGCTCCTGGTTCCGTTTCAGCCCAGGCACCGGGCTGTGCGCCCTCCGTTTTGGTATCAGTGGTACAGAAGGTTTGTTCTAGTTCTAGTCTTTCCTCCTGTTAGAGTTTGGTACTCTTGAATAGCAAACCCCAAAGCTGCCCTGGAGTGTCAGACACTGACTCAAGTTCATGTTCTTCAGAGTCCACATTCTAGGATCTCCCCAAATGAAACTCAGCACGACACACTTTTTTTTCAACAAGCTTTTTGCTCTCTCTCTCTAGCCCTATTTTTGAGGAAGACACGCCCTCTGTTATGGAAATAGAAATGGAAGAGCTTGATAAATGGATGAACAGCATGAATAGAAATGGTACGTGGTAACCTAAGGTTGTTTTTTCTGTCCTTTCGGGTAAGAGCAGGTGGCAACAGTTTTGTAAATACCCGGTAAACAGTGGGGTGTGACAGCATGAGCCCAAGCCACGTTAGAGCTGTGACATGCAGAATTTTCGTCTGACAACCCTTAAATATTCAGTTTAATTATTGCATCAGTTGTTGCCACTTGTTTTTATTTTTGTACAAGTTTTTCAAATGGTCTTTTTCAAGAAGAAAATGGTCTTTCTTCAAGCAAGGAAATCTCTGAGACCAAATGATCTGCAGCAAGTTAGTATCTGGCATTACCTTTCATATCATAGGATTTAGAGGCCTATGATTTTAATCTGTATAGGGACATAAAACTTCATCAAATACAGTTTACATAGGTCGGCGCTGTCCAATACAAGACACTAGCCATATGTGACCATTTAAATTACATTTTTTTAAAGCTAAATATAATTTAAAATTTAGCTCCTCAGTCAATCTAGCCAGATTTTGAGTGCTCAGTGGCTACTATATTATACAACACAAATCCAGAACATTTCCATCACTGTAGAAAGTTCTATTGGGCATACTAATATGGATAGTAATATAATATCCCCATATAACTTAATTTCCGATTGATCTCTGGCAGTAATTGTAGTATATGTTCCTTACTTTTTATTAAATCAATATTTGGACTTAAAATGATGACAGCTGTTTTTACTTTTTTTTAATTCCTTTAAAAATCAATAAATTACTTTTAATGCCCTGATTAAATTAATAAAATCCACTATTTATGTTATCATATCATTTGGTTTTTTTATTCTTTTTTTTTTTTTTAAGGAAGATTAGCCCTGAGCTAACATCTGTCCCAATCTTCCTCTACTTTATATGTGGGATACCTGCCACAGCATGGCTTGATAAATGGTCTGCAGGTTCGTGCCTAGGAAGGGAGCTCACAAACTTAACTGCTACACCACTGGGCTGGCCCCATATCATTCATATTTTTAACATTTATTTTTTAAAAAACTACCACGGGGTCTGTCAGATTCAACAATCTACAATGGAGTTCTCAAATCCAGAGATTTGTTATTAGAATTATTGTCCCAGAGGCTTATCAAGATGAACTTTCCAAAAGATTCACCCAAGTAACTTGTACCATTTTTAACAGTTTCTCGTAGTCTAATATTGAGAGAAGAATGGCTCTGTAAGGTGCTTGAAGATAGGGATGGGTCACTGAGATAATCCTTAAACTAGTTTCATTTTGTTGTTTTCAGTTTATAAAAATAATATACGTACACAATAGAATTTGGAAAATGCAAAAAAAAGTAGAAAGAAGAAAAATTTTCACCACCCAAAGACAACCTGTCTTAATATTTTGATGAGATAATTGTAATACAAAGTCATGATCTTATTATATTCCCCAAACCCAGAAAACTGGAAAAAGGTGTTTCTATGGGACAACTAAAGCCGAGGGTTCTTCTCACACATGGGCGATAGATCCAATGGATTTTTCCCCCTTAAAAATAAAAGTGGCGTGCAACTAGAAGGACCCACAACTAAAAATACACAACTATGTGCCGGGGGGCTTTGGGAGAAAAAGGGAAAATAAAATCTTTAAAAAAATAAATAAATAACGGTTGTGTAAAAGGAGAGAATTCTGATGACTCTAAGAAGCTTAGCCGCTCCGCACTTTTCCTGCTTCGTTTCGATCATGCAGTCTGACTGAAGTCATTCTGCAGACACATTGGGACCCCAGGTGAAGCCATTTTATTCCCGTTTCTATCCTGAAACACGCGGCTCCAGCTTTTGGAGCAACAGTGGGGTCCTTCAGGGACTGAATAACCAAGCCGTGATGAATCGTGCCCTTTCCGCCAGGGCCAGAGGCACGCTGAAGTCTTGAATCTGTACTGTTAGTGCTTTTTCCATTTCAAGAGCTGTGCCGTCCTTAATCTTCTAACCCCTGGAACTCCCTGGTGAGGCCACTTTTGCACAGCCGCCCAGACCAGGGAAACGCGATGCTCAATTGTATGAGTTTTGCGGATAGAAAATAGAATTTCAGTGACTAACAATGAATTTGCTTTTATTCTGCCCTAGCCGACTATGAAGGTTTACCTACTTTAAAGGAAGAAAAGGAATCAAACCACAACCCAAGGTACTTCTGATGTCCACCACCGATTATATGTGGGGGGAGGGACCTGGAGACCACGGTGGAGCCCTTTCCCTCCCCTTCTCTGTCATTTTATGTAAATTTTGTGTGACAGTTTACATGGGGTGTATGTGCATAGTGTGGAGAAAAGGGAGTGTGAGTGATGGAAGAACAGAAAGCCACCAAGTAAATATCCTAGTGGCTCTTTATCTTCAGAAATAAATTAGTATTGACTTGTTTTTGTTCTAAAAAGACACTGTGGAGTTGGTTTCTCAGTCATAAAACTTTCTGATTATAAGACACTGTAGGTTTGTTTATCTTGAAAGAATAGATGTTTAGTAAAGAAAACACATGGAGGTGACAGTATCAAAGGGGGTAACTGTAAACAAGGAGTGAAATAAACTTTTTTTTTTTAACCCACCTGGGTTGGATTGTTCTATGAGACAAATTAGATGAGAATTTTGAAAACCATATTCCATTGTACCACTAGGTGGCTCTGCCCGATAGAAGATTTTAGTGCCTGGGCGCTTGGGTGAAGCGGCGCGCTCCGCGATCTCGTTTCAGTTATTTGATCTTTTGTGAGTTTAGACATGACCGTGTTTGGGGTGTTTTTGATCATAGAATTGTTCGATCAGGACGTGGGAAGGGCTCACAGGAAATAGGATTGAAGATTCAGCAAGGTCCGGGACTTGCTCCGCAGAGCACCGCTGGGATTTTCGGGGGCACCCAGTTGTTGGCAGGGGCGAGCAGAGAACTTGAGCCCGTGACTGAGATATTACACTTCTGCCAGAACAAATAGAATACACCTTCAGAGCAGGATAAATACACCACCTTCTCTCCCCCCGTGGTAACCAGAGGTCTTGTGCCAATCATCTTAAATGCTTCCAGGGTGCAGCCACTTGTCCTCGGGCAGTCCCTGAGTCTAGAGCGTTGCGGGGAAAGACTGATTATTAGACAGTGATTGGGGCAGGCAGATGTTTGTCTTCCAGACCCTTCTTCTTCATCCTGCCCCTAAACCTCCCCTAAGAAGCCGTCATCCTACATCTCTCCCCGCATCATGCCAGCACAATCTTACCGAGGCACCCTCAGCCCTGATGCAGAGGTCTACACCTTGTTGTAGATTTCAGTCATCTTTACCTCTCCAGGTATTTGCCTGTTAAGATTCATTGCCATTTCAGAAAAGATTCTATCCTATTTAAATGAGGTTCCAGATATTAACAAGCAGATGAAAGAAAAAAGAAATGCTAGGGGGAGTATTACAAAAGACTTAACAAAGGAATATTTTCCCCACATGTATACTTTACCTAAAAATGAGCCACTGCGTATGCGGCTTAGGTCACCAGCACAGCTCTACAAATGTCTTATTACTGTCTATGGGATGGGCACCCTCAGATGTTGCAAAATGTCAGTGCTTTTTATATACCTGCCTCTTGTTCCTTGAAATTATAAGCAACATAGAAGCAGCTTAATGTTAGAGAACTATGTGGTGGTGAAAACGTCTTAAAAATCATATTTTTGGAATATTGAGAGGTTGGTCTTTGAAATAAGCTCTAGTTCATTTCTACTTGTAAGGCAAAAAGCCTTAACCTGGTCTGGCCCTGTGGCCAAGTGGTTAAGTTCACATGCTCTGCTTCAGCAGCCCAGAGTTCGCCAGTTAGGATCCTGGGCTTGGACCCACACATTGCTCATCAAGCCATGCTGTGGAGGCATCCTACATTGAAGAACTAGAATGACTTACAACTAGGATATACAACTATGTACAGGGACTTTGGGGAGGAAAAAAAAGAAGATTCGCAGCAGATGTCAGCTCAAGGCCCATCTTCCTCACCAAAAGAAAAAAAGAAAGAATTAGGTATTTCTTTCCACCTCTTTGCAAGTGCATAGTTTTAAAAAAAAAAAAAAAAAAAGGCTTAACCTATTTGGAAAGCTGCTTTATGCTAAATTAGTGTTTTTAAAGGGAATGTTTACATTCCTCTGTTGGTCCAGAACTAGTATCTGGCTTTACTTCACAGGACAACTGTCAGGACTTCACCTCCCTCCCTCTCTGTAAAGCCAGCACCAGCGTCACTGAACCAAGAGGGGCAAGTCCCAAGTTTTTGGTGCCACACACAGGCACTTTCTGATCACTTTGAAGGGTATTACGATATTGCAAAGCAAAGTTAATTTTTATTCATTAAAATCTCGGCAAAGTGCAAAGCACTTAGAACCAAGCCTGGCACAAAACAAATTCTCAGTGAGTATTGGTTAGTAGTAGCAGTAAGTTAAAAGTGATCCATAGAAACTCGCTGCCTTTGGGATAATGAGCCTGCGCCCTAAGACCCAGGCGCATCTGTGTGGGCGGGTGGGGCATTATTCTTGCCCCTGGTTTCTCCGGTGACTTCTTTTTGGGTCTGGCCAATCCCGAGAAATCAGGAATTTGTTTGATCTCCTAGGAATGCTCTGGAGACTTTCACTTCCTCTCCGTTACTGTTATAGGCCCGTTAATGTTGCTGATTTCAGAATAGTCCTCTTTGCCACCTGGAGTTTTTGTAAGGGTATAGAGTCTGCATAATCTTATAGTTTGGGTAATCTTTCTTTTCTGTCATGATTTCATTTACATTTCTTTCTCCTATTCTTTTAACTAAATTGATAACTGGTGAAATTTTTACTTTGAATATCTAAATCCAGGACAGATATATGACTTTGGTTTTTTCTAAAAGCTTGTGAATCTTTAGAGATCCAGGTGGAGAGTGCATTGGTCATTGGACTTAGGATCAGAAGACTAATTTTAAGACCTGAGTCGGATGCTCGTTTGTTCTTTATATTAAGACAAGTCACTTTAACACTGAGCTTCAGTTTCCTCATATTGAAAAATGGAAATAATGACACCTGTCCTTCTAGTTTCACAGGATCATAAGAGGGAATAAAACCAATTTGTAAGTTTTAAAGCACTATGCAAATGAAACTAATTCTTTTATGCTCTGGCCATAGTTCTCTTCCCTCTGCCCCACTCCCCAATTGGCCTTTTTGAAAAAAGACTTTCTATCTTTGAGCAGTTTTGGGTTCACAGCAAAATTGAGCAAAGAGTACAGAGAGTCCCCACATACCCTTTATCCTCACACGGGCACAGCCTCCCCACCATTGACATTCCCACCAGAGTGGTCCGTTGTTAGAATCAATGAACCTGCTTTGACTCATCATTGTCCCCAAAGCTCCCCATTGGTTTTGCTTCTGTGAGTCATCCTCCTTCCACCCTTTAGACAGTGTACAGGAGACTCCAACCCTCCAAAAAGTATGTAACAGTCCCTGAAGATGGAACTTAGCGGAAAACACACTTCTCCATCCTCTTGCTAAACTGAGACGTCTGGAATCCATTTACAGAATTCAGCCCTTCCTGATGCTAGAAAGACACCCTGACACAGAACCTCTGTTATCCCTAAAGTGCTCTATGCTTCTGGTCACCATCTTACCCTTAACGCACCGCATTGTGTGAAAAGACTTCAACCCTTCAGCCTTCTCTTGTTAGGGTCTATCACCTCAGGTCTTCCAGAACTTTCCCACATATCCCATTGGGCAGCCATTGTTCACTACTTTCCTTGTCCTCACTGAATGGGCATTTTCCTTGAGCTGTGGAACCTACAATTTAGCGCAGGATTTCAATAAGGGCCAGAGATGTACAAAGTACTATGGGAAGCTTTTACTATGGTTTTTATGTTTTTAAAAAATCAATAGGAAAAGACAACAGAGAAATTGTGGAGGAAATGGAGTTCTATATTCTTATTTCCCACCTTAGCATTTTTTCCCTGTAATTTATACCTGTTATGTGCCAGGCACTGTATGAGGTACTGGGAATAGTGTCAGTGGAAAAGGGTCCAAGGGGTGAGGCAGGGCGGTGGGAGAGTTCTGCCCTAGAGTTAAAGAGAATTTCATCACTGACATTGCTAAGCACTCTCAGTGCATGGTGATAACAAAGAACAGATCCATTGAGTTGGTTTCATTATTGTTTTAATTCTCTGTAAAGAATGCACTTCCTTATTGTCTACCCCCACCCACACAACACCTTCCACTAGATAGTGGTAAAAGCGAGAAAGATAGAGTCCCCTTTATCACGGTGTTTACCAGTCCAGCCAGCCTGTTCCTTCTTCCCGGGGCCTTTATAGTTGGACAATTTCCTGCAAGCCTAGATGAACAACTACAGAAAAGGAATCGCAAATATTAGCCATGCGCCCATCTTCTTTCCCTTTATGCCTCTTGGCCACAGCGAGGATTTTACATTGAGTAACAGCCTTGGGAAAGATCAGGAAAAAACTGGATTTGGTTACATGCAAGTGGATTTATAATTTTGAAAGTATATTAATAACAACAATAATAAGACATTTATATAGCATGTTCTATATGCCAGATGCCTCGGTACTCTTAGCTAGGAACTTAACGACGTCAGAGAGGGTAAGTAACAGTAAACCTGTTCTGCTTGTGTAATAAGTCTACTGTTTATTCTGTGATTCATGCCTGAGCTCAGTGACATAAAAAGAGATCGTTTCAATATTTCTCAGGAAAATTTAGGTTTGTTTAATAGTGAATTTTTTGAATTTCTTTCTGTTTCTCTCTTCTCTTTGTCTTTTTTTGGAGAAAATACAATGGTTGATGTCATTTTTCAAAATATATTTATTGAGCACCTAACACGTGCCTGGCATTGTCTACATCATGCCAAGACAATCAGTTAGAATCATCTGAGTAAACTTGGAACTCAGAGGGGTGAAGTGATTTGTCCAAGTTCACACAGCAAGTTTGTGATAAAGCTCAGTCTAGAGAAGAGTTTCTTTTAAAACTGCATGTTTCATTTTCTTTGATTAATTACAGAGATAAATTAAAAGTCAAATTAGAGATTAAAAACAAAGAACACTTAGAAGCAAGAAAGCCAGCCACCATGAGGCTAATATACGAAAGTGTCTGATGGGTGATGTGTCCACCATCTAGTGCAGTCATTGATGAGGCTGAACCATTCACTGCAAGAAAACAGCAGTCTT